GTATTTTGACATATAGTACACAAATGGAGTACAACTTCTCATTCCTTTGGCTGTACATGGAATAGAGTCACTCCAGTAGTGTAATCATATATGTATATAGGGTAATAATGTCTTTCTACCATCCTTCCCATCCCCACAACCCCACCCCACCCTCAATCCCCTCTACACAAACCAAAGTTCCTTCATTCTTCCCCATCCTCCTGCTATGGAGCAGCATCCATCCATTTATAAGAGAAAACATTCAGCTTTTGGTTTTTTGGGATTGGCTTATTTCACTTAGCATGACATTCTCTAGTTCCATCCATTTACCTGCAAATACCATAACTTCATTCTTTTTTAAGGTGGAGTAATATTTCATTGTGTATATGTGCTACATTTTCTTTGTCCATTCATCAGTTTGAAGGGCATCTAGGTTGGTTTCATAGGTTAGCTATTGTGAATTGAGATGCTATAAACATTGATGTGGCTGTGTCACTGTAATATGCTGATTTTTAAGTCTTTTGGGTATTAACTGAAGTGGGATAGCTGGGTCAAATGGTGGATCCATTCCAAGTTTTCTGAGGAATCTCCACAGAGATTCTGAGGCTTTCCACAGTGTTTGCACCAATTTGTAGTCCTGCCAGCAATGTATGCATGTTTCTCTTTTCCTACATCCTTGCCAAAATTTGTTGTTACTTGTATTCTTGATAATTGCCATTTTGACCGGAGTGAGATGAAATCTCAGTGTAGTTTAATTTGCATTCCCTAATTGCTTCTGATGTTGAATATTTTTTCATATATCTGTTGGCCATTTGTATTTCTTCTTTAAAGAAATGTCTGATAAATTAATTTACGTATTCATTAATTGGGTTATTTGGGTTTTTTTAGTGCTAAGTTTTTTGAGTTCTTTGTACATTCTAGATAATCCTTTGTAAGAAGAGTAGATAGCAACAGGTTTTCCCATTCTGTAGGATTCTTTCTTCACATTCTTAGTTGTTTCCTTTGCTGTGCAGAAGTTTTTTAATTTGATGCCATCCCACTTATTAACACTTGGCATTATTATCTGAACTTTAGGTGTTCTATTGAGAAAGTCATTGCCTATGCCTGTCCATTGGGAGTGTTGATCCTATGCTTTCTTCTAGGAGTTGCATAGTTTCTCATCTAATTCCTAGGGTTTTGATCCATTTTGAGTTGACTTTGGTGCAGAGTGAGAGATGAGGTTCTAGTCTCATTCCTCTATATATGGATATCCAATTTTCCTAGCATCATTTGTTTAAAAGGCTGTCTTTTCTCCACTGTGTGATTTTTTTGTACCTTTGTCAAGGATAAGATGACTGTAGATGTATGGATTTTTCTCTGTGTCTTCTACTCTGTACCATTGGTCTAGGTATCTGTTTATGTATCACTACTATGCAGTTTTCGTTACTATAGCTTTAGAGTATAATTTAAAAGTCAGGTATTGTGACCTTTAACATTGCCTTTTTTTTTTTTTTTTTTTTTTGCTTAGAATTGCTTTGGCTATTCTGGGTCTTCTTTTTTTTCCAAATGAACTTTAGGACTGTTTTCCTAATTCTGTGAAGAATGTCAATGGTATTTTGATGGGGGGATTGCCTTGAATCTGTATATTGTTTGTGATAATTTGGCCATTTTAACAATATTCTATCTACCCATGAACATGGGAGGTCTTTCCATTCTTGTGTCTTCTTCAATTTCTTTTCCAGTGTTCTATAGTTTTTATTGTAGAGGTCTTTTACCTCTTTGGTTAGATTTAGTCGTATGTATTTAATTTAATTTTTTGAGGCTATTGTGAATGGCATTGTTTTCCTGATTTCTTTCTCAGCATATTCATTATTGGTATAGATTTTGTATGTTGATTTTGTAACCTGCCACTTAGTTCTAGCAGTCCTCTGATGGAAATTTTTGTGTTTTCTAGGTATAGGATCATATCCCTGCAAACAGTGATAATTTGACTTCTTTCTTTCCCATTTTTATCCATTTTATTTCCTAATTTATTTCCTATTTCTTTATGCCTAATTGCTCTGGCTAGAATAGAAATGGTGAGAGTAGATATGCTTGACTTGTTTCAGATTCTAAAGAAAATGTTTTCAGTTTCTCCTCATTAGTTACAATGTTGGCTTTGGGAGATATATATATATATATCAGTGTTTTTTTTTTTTTTTTTTGTAATGAATAGGTGCTGAATTTTGTCAAAGGCTTTCTATGCATCTATTGAGATGACTGAATGGTTTTTGTCCCTAATTCTATTTATGTGATGATTACACTTATTGATCTGCATGTGAAACCATTCTTGCATCCCTGAGATAAAACCAACTTGATCATGATGAACAATCTTCTTGCTAATATTAAAGATTTTTGCATCTAAATTCATCAAGGATATTAGTCTGTAGTTTTCTTTCCTTGACGTGTTCCTATCTGGTTTGGTATAAATGTGACACTGATTAAATAGAATGAACTTGGAAGCATTCCATTTCCCCTGGAATATTCTGAGGAACATTAGTACTTGTTTTTTAAAGGTCTGGTAGAATTCAGCTAACAATTCATCTGATCCTGGACTTTTCTTCTTCTTCTTTTTTAAATATTTATTTTTTAGTTGTAGTTGGACACAATATCTTTATTTTATTTTTATATGGTGCTGAGGATCGAACCCAGAGCCTCGAATGTGCTAGGCGAGCACTCTACTGATGAGCCACAATCCCAGCCCTGGACTTTTCTTTGTTGGAAGAATATCTGTAATCAACCATTGTTTGTTTGTTTGTTAAGGGATTGAACACAGGGGTACTTTAGCCACTGAGCGACATCTCCAGCCCCCAAATCATTGTTTGAGGCTTGTATCTTATAATACAAAATTCTCTCCTATAAGACAATTGTTCAGTCAACAAAAATTGTTGCACTTAATATGAACATCATACATTCAGAAATCAAAGAGGGAAATAATGTTTTCTAGTGTAGATGATGAAATACTTATCTGTTGAATCAGGGACTTTGGACTGAAAAGAACAGCTATGTGGGCTGAAAGCAGCACTATGAAATTGAAATGAGGTTAAGTGTATAATGTGGTATGCTGAAGTTCAGAGTGACCAGTTGCATAAGCATGAAATAGGGAAACAACTTAACAGAAGTTGTAAAGTTGTGTAAAAGCCTAGCCTGAGCCGTAATTATGACAATGACGAGTTCTTAGACTGTGTTACTAACATCCACTCACTGGTTACTCTGAGCCATGTGCTGTTCTAAGCATTTTAAGGCTATTGGCTCATTTAATTCTCACAAATAGCCTGTTAGGTAAGTCTAATATTATTTCCATTTCAAGTGAGGAAACTGAGGCCCAGAGCAGATAAAAAATAACCCAAGGTAAAGTGACAGTCAGTAAGTGGTGGAGCTTGGTTTTGAAACTTATGCTAATCCTGCTCTCCTCTGGACTGGTCAGTCCATTTCTGGAGTCTTCATGTGTGAGGACATCACAGACCAAAGGTCTCCTGAGACCAGGTTGTGGCTGGGGTGGAAACCCACTCTGATGGTTGGACAAACTGGGGTCCTTTAGAAGAGTTTAAGAAAGAAATATGCTTTACAAGTATTTAAAGACTATTATGTGAAAGAGAAATGAGAATTATATTTTGTAGCCACAAGGAAATTATGGGTTTAGGCTGACAAACATTTACCAAATGCCTATATCTGCAAGAACCCTGGGAATTCAGAGATAAGAAGAAACAAAACAAAAACCACTTCTTGGAGAAGTTTCCAGTCTAGAAGTGGTGAGAGGCAAAGTTGATTCTCCAAAAGACCTTCTGAAGACCCTAGCAGCTGGATGCCAACTCTTAAATATATATAAAATTAAATTTTATAATTGAAATTTGGAGACATTTTCTGTTGATTAATATGTTGCATTACATAGATATCAAGAAAATAACTTGTCGTTTGCATTACACTTGATGTTATAGTTTGGATCTAAAGACTCATGTTGACAGCTTGGTCCCTAATGCAGCAATGTTTAGAGGTGAGGCTCTTGGGAAGTGATTGGATCATGAAGACTGTGACCTCTCAAAGGATTAATCCATTGATATGTTCATAGCTGATGACATTATTGGGAGGTGGTGATAATATAGGAAGTGGGACCTTGTTGGAAGAAGTAGGTCACTGGGGGCACACTTGAAAGGATGTATCTTATCTCTGGTCCTTCCCTTGTTCTCTCTCCTCTGCTTTTGGGCTACCATGAGGTAAACAGTTCTGTTCTGCCACATGCTCCCTCAAATGACCTTCTGCCTTACCATGGGCTCATAACATGGGGCCAAGCAACCATGGATGGAAACTTCTGAAACAGTGAGCCAAAATAAACCTTTCCTCCTTTATTTTCTCAGGTATTTTGTCACAGAGTGGAAAACTAACTAGCAGACTTAACCAAGTCAGCAAGATAAATTTTATTACTTTCAAAATATTAACAGAAAATAGACAAATCATCCATTCTGAAAGCAAGGGAAGAGAATATCTTTGTTTAAATGAGTATTTTAAAAATATATAAGCATTATATGCAGTACATAATATTTTTATGTATTATGTATCAATAATATATAAATCTTACTGGAAATTCTGATTATTTTGATAAGATAAATGGACACAAAAGGATTATCCAGTTGCTTTTTTAAAATTGTGAAATAATACATTTTTTTTGTAGAATATAGTTCAACTCTGACAATAACATTTGAACTCCAGGATCACACAAACTGGATCAAGATTTAGAAACAAATGATTATTTTAGTGAAGAGAGTGGAATGTTTGACCAATGCCCTGAAGTTTAACAGTATCATTGAATGATTCCTTTGAAGTCATCCACTTATAAGCAAAGGAAATAGTGCATTTCTAAGGTTCATTGGAGAATCACAGGGATGCACTGGATTAAATTATTTTGATGTTTTGTGGTTACATATGGATCTTCCTATTTGTGTCATTCTCCTCTGTTAGGAATATTTTCACTGTTGTCTAGACAAACTACAAATGTGTGAGACAGATTTGTTGATTTCAGATGTCAAATTTGTTTCTTATAGTTCCATACAAGAAAAAAAGCAGATTAATGTTACATTGTAAATTCCATTAATCGAATTCAAAACAAAGATACTTCCCAAGTACAATAGGATTTCCAACTATTATGGGGCAAAAGAGTACCCATATAGCCATTCTGTTTTTCATGTTCAGAACAGTATTCAATAAACCATATGAGATATTCAACATTTTATATAAAATCGGCTTTGTGTTAGATGGTTTTGCCTAACTGTAGGCTAATCTAAGTGTACTAAGCAGTTAGGCTAGGCTAAGCTATGATGTTTGGTAGGTTAGGTGTACGAAGTACATTTTGACTGACGATATTTTTGACTTAATGATGGGTTTATCAGTATATAATTCCATTGTAAAGTTGAGTAGCATCTCTAATAGGATATTTTCCATTTTATTCGTTATAGAATATCAGACCATATCATCATAGGAAAATCTGTTAATAAAGTTGGTTAGGTATACAACTGTTACTATGTAGACTCATATTATTTTCTATTTCATGCAAGTTTATCCACAATGTTATCCTGCTATTCTTTGCCAAGTTTTTTTTTCCCATTATGAAGATTCTGCTTTCATAAGCTTATGACCAGCTTGGTGATTAGTGTTGGTGAAACATGAGCAGCAGATATTCCCCTCAGGTTACTTTCCTTCTGCAATGACTAGAGATATGAATCTGGATGACCTTCCAGATTTCTTCTTATTGATTTTCCTTCACACAAGATAAATCACTATGATAAACTGCTTCAATGAATAACTTATCTACGTAGGGAAAGCAGAAAGTCCAAGCAATAAATCCAATTTGATTGAGAACTATGAAGATGTCAACAGTAAATAATAATGCACTCTTTCCCAGTACACAAAGACTGTTTTTTTTTTGTTTTTTGTTTTTTGTTTTTTGTTTTTCTTGAATGATATTGGGGATTGAATCCTGGGCCTCCCGTGTCCTGTATCACCCCACCCCCAGCCCTTAGCCAAGATTTATTTTTAACAATGGCTTGCTGCAAAATAATTTTCTGGGATGCAGGAAATAACTGGCCCTAATTCTGGATTGTTTTCAATAGCAGATATAATGAAGAATGATCAATTGCTAGATGTCAGAGCCAAAAATTAAACTGCATTCAAAAACCTAGAATAGGTGCAGAGGTGTAGATCAGTGGTACAGCATTTGCCTAGAATGCATGAGGCCCTTTGTTGTTTGATCCCCAGCAATGGGGTGGGGGGAGAAAGGCCACGATATTTGCTCTGCATTCTAATTTATAGAAATAGAACTTTATTGACTAAAAAACAGGATATGTAAAATAAAGAGGAAGCTCAGTCAAGCCATCCATTCCATATAGTTAATATTTGGAATGAAAAACTTCCACATATTTTTGGCTTTTCAAATACAATATTTTATACCAAGTATTAACTTATGATGAGGTATCCCTTTTTACTTCCATGCTACAGGCTTTAAGATATCTTAAGTGAAACACAAATGTGTATGCACACATACACATATACACAACATAAATGTCAATACATATCTAAAGCATTTTCCTGAGCAGGTGCAAAGATCCAATTGAAGTTTTTTTATAAGGCTTAGCCAACTTGATGTAAAACAAAAGGTTCCCAAATAGAGAATTTTTTTTTTTTCATGCAACAAACATGGTTGGAGAATAGAAATCTGACTCTTGGAGTTAAATTGACTCTGAACTCCCTAAAATTCTAAGAGTTTATCATTCTGTGAGTTAATTCCTCAAGTTATTCTCCCCATAAATGAGCTGCTTGGAAGAAGGAGAATGGTTTGGGAAGATGGGTTTATTCTTTCAGGCCACTAGTAGTCTACAAAAGTACCCTGTTAAAGAGTGATCACAAATGCGTACCTATTAGCTTAGCAGGTAACTGAAAGATGATAGGTGTTTTTAAAAACCTCATGCACTGATGAGCCTCACAGTTACGTCCATCACTGAAAGGACAGTTGTTTCATATTTTGACCATTTTGAATGAAATCTTGGCTCCTATGTCTTGAGAAGCACTTCTTATTCATTTATTTATTATTTATTTATTGGTATCAGAGATTGAACTCAGGGGCACTAAAACACTGAGCTACATCTCCAGCCCATCCCCATATTTTATTTGGAGACAGCATCTCACTGAGTTGCTTAGGCCCTTGCTAAGTTGCTGAGGCTGGCTTTGAACTCTCAATCCTGCCTCAGCCTCTCGAGCCACTGGGATTACAGGCATGCGCCACCATGCCTAGCAATGGGAAACACTTCTAGTGCTTATAAAAGACACCATCTTTCTCATCCTGTACTTCTATCTCCAAATACGTGAATTTTCTTTGGGTCATGACTCCCCAGCTTCCTCCTCATTCATTCCTGTCCTCTACTAGAGAACTTAAAACATTGAAGAAAAGCAGAGTGAAAGAAAAGATGGAGGCTAATCAGAGAAGACTCAATTCCTTTACTCAGCTGTAAGCCAGGCAGGGTGCAATATCATCTGCTGCTGTTATTGTGTGTTTGTTTGGTATGTGAGGGCTCTCAACATGTTCTTAGCAGAAAAATATGTCATGCTCAATTCAGGTGAGAGCCTTCCACAGAAAGCATTTCAAAAGAGCAAGAGAATCAAAAGAAGTATATTATTTTAAAGTACTCTTGAAATTTTAAATGTGTATAAATTCAGAGGTTTAGAAAACTCAAAAGCCATAGATAGTTTAGGAAGCCGAAGGCTGTGAATCTCCCTTTTCACTTAATCCATGCCTTATTTTGCATTCCTCGCAGGTAAGCAGGCAATGCCTAGAAGAGAAGCAAAAACAGGTAGTGGTTTGTATTTTGACAATAGAAGCTCTAGTCTTAACACAATGTTGTTTAGAGAAGTCTTCTGTTCTAAAGTTCACTAGCCCAATTTCTTCAGGAATAATATTTGTTCTTAGTTTAAGATTCCCCAAATTTCATCCAAATAAAGCCAAGAACAAACTTTATGTTGAAACAGATGGTTGTTTTTGTGGTTAGAGTCACACAAAGGTTGAACATCTTGACTCTTTGAACTTGAGTAATTTCTAACAATAACATTAAAAAAATCATAAATAAGCCAGGCACAGTGGCACATATCTATCGCTCCAGCACTGAGGATGCTCAGGTGGGAGAAACACTTGAGCCCAGGAGTTCGAGGCCAGCCTGGGCAATGCAGTGAGACCTCATCTAAAAGAAAAAAAAAATCATAAAATACATAGTGCATTTATGAAGGATTTAATATAATATAAGCCTATAGTGTTTAATATAATATAAACTTATGGAATTAGGTTTGAACACACATGAGCACACATAATTTTTTTAATTAAAAAATTGCAAAGACATTCCAGAATTATAATTTTCCTGATTTGTAACAGTTTCCTTAGAATCTAACACAATACCAAGGAAAATGCACAGCTTTGTATTAGAAAAATACCCACACTTGAGGAATTGATGTCCTTGAGGCCCTTCCCAGTGTTAGTTTTGAAATCTTACAAATTCAATTCCATAAACATTTACTGAACACCTACTACCATGAGGAATTTGCAACAGGAAGACCATTTAAGCAGAACAGGATGAGGTGAATTCTATATAATAGAAATATCAACCTTGCTTGAGTGGGAAGGGTCATTCAGAAGGCAGCAACACCATAAGCTGCTATTGCACGTCCCCAGAGAGATGGATGATGACCTCCATCCTCCTCCCTTTATCACTTATTTTACCCCATTGCTTTGAGAATTAGGTAGAAATCCTTAGTGTGGCATAAAATCCTTCAGGGAGTGACCCTTACTTGCTTTGCCCTCCAGATGTCTTCTATCATTTCCCAATAGCTCTCTATGCTTTAGCCATAGGGTGTATCCATGGGTTTATTAAAGAATTAATCAATCAGGTTTCCTTCTCTGAGCAGGCCATTCCTGGCCTAGCATTTCCTTTTTCAAACTTGCTATAACTCCCACTGGTCTTTGAAGATTCAAGTCAAGCATCATCATCTCCTTTAAGAAGGCCCCTTCCTTAAGCTTCTAGACCTCAACTTAGCTAGGGGCTCTTCCCTCTTTCCCCCTCACTGGAAATCAAGTAGCTTTGTGAATCGTTGCAATATCATCTGCTGCTGTTATTGTGTGTTTGTTTGGTATGTGAGGGCCCTTCACAAGGGCTTAGCAATGGTTACCAGCCACTAATGTGAGCCCAGAGTGCAGCTGCTGTGGATACAAGAGGGCAGGCAAAACAGAGCTATAGAACAAAGAGCTCAAAGCAACCCTGGAGACCCTTTACTTCAACCGCCTTCTTCTAAAATGCAGAACAATGGAGACTGTCTGGAAAACACAGATTTCAATCTTGCTTTATAATTATTATGGAACCTGAAGTTGGATAATAGCAAAAGAACTTCCTGAAATTAAAGAGGAAGAGGGAACAGATAAGAAAACTTTCTCCTTTGCATGTATTGATTTTATAAAACTTTCCCTAAAGAGACCAGAATCTTGTGGTCAATTGCTCTTCAGAAAGCTGACCCTAAAACTCAGCTTTGTAAAGATGGACTGATGTTGGAGTTGCCTGTAAACATAGAATTAATGACTCTCAGGCAACATTGCTGCTAAAATGGAATATGTAAGGGTTTGAAAACAAATGGGCTGAGCCTTACCTATGGCTAACTGAAAAACAGGATATGGCTAACTAGGTCACCTCAGAAAGTCTCTGCATCTCCTTGCTGTATGTCTGTGCACCTCTCTGGGTTGCATGTGGCTCAACAGGAAGTGACAGTGTTTAAGGTACCAGTATAGGACTAGGGAAGGTGGCTCTCCAAAGTTTTGCAAATGGAAAAAGAACTTGGGTGCCCTGATTTCTAGTCCAATGTTGTTTTCACTATATCATGCAGCCTCTCAAATAGAATCTACTGAGATGGGTGAGGGGTCTTCAGAGAAATGTGTCTTTAACACTAGTCCCATAACACTATAAAAGAAATAGCACTTATGAGTCATGAATAACCATTTCTATTCCTTGCAATATCCCATGGAAACAATTCTGGTCATCATTTTATACAGATGAGGAAACTGAAGATTAGAGAGTTTAAGAAATGTATTCAAGGTCATATGGCTTAGGAAGTGGATGGAGTGGTTTTCAACCCAAAATCTCCAACAGCAGAGGTAGTCCTGTGAACTCCACTGTCCTGCTGTTTATATCCCCCAGAGAAAACTACAATATATATATATTACATAGCAATATTACATGCTATTAACATGTTAAAGGCTCTCAGAAGCCTTCCGTAAGGAAGACCGTTTAAATTTTACGTAACCTTGTGATGGTAGAAGCCATTTGTGCTCATCAAGATATTCTTTAGAGACTTGCACAATGCCTTGGACATAATAGGTACTCATTAGATATTGTTATAAAATGAAATAGGTAGCTAATTTAATAATTATCGAAGTTGAGTTGTAACAACTCAAAACTTGAAGGTTAAAGAGGTTTTTTAAATGAAGGAATTTAAAAAACGTTTAATGTTATAAATAGTCAGTGACCCTTCATTTAATTACTTATAATTATCTTCATTATAATCTCTTAGTCAAGCAGGTTACAAACCTGTTATGCTCTGGACCAAAACCAGCTCCACGCAGCTGATCTTCAAAAGAATGGAATTTACTCTGGCATACTCCTATGTATGAAGCCTTTCCAAGGCCAAATCCTAAGATGCCAGCAACTATAAAAGCAAGAAACATAGATAACTGAAAGATTCAGAATCTCTTTCGTTAATTATCATCTTGAAATTTTTTTATTAAATCTAGTCTTTTTTTTTTTTAAGTGCTGATGTTGAACCCAGGGGTGCTTTACCACTGAGCTACATCCCAACCATTTTAATTTTTTATTTTGAGACAGGGTCTCACCAAGTTGCTTAGGGCTTCACTAAGATCCTCCTGTTTCAGTCTCCAAAATCACTGGGATAGGTATGTGCTACCACACCAAACATCAAGACTAGTCATTTTTATCTAAAAGTACTAAGGTAAATCAATGAACAAAAACTCTGAGGGTGAAGCCCCTATCAAAGAGCAGGACTGTGAACCAGAGACTTTCTGATCTCTTCTTTGAACTGGAAGCAGAATGACCAGGACAGAGCAAGTGAAGATGCTGTCTCAGAGATGGGCAATGAGAGGGTGGCAGCTGTCAAACAGATGGCTTAGGCCACCAAGGAGAGAAGGTGGGGATCTGCACTGTGACTATTGGAAGCCTTTAAATCACAGGTAGGAAAGCTCCTTTACTTTCTTTAAGGTCTTGGAAGAGTTGGAAGCAACCTCTAGAAGTGATGTCATGAGGGAGGGAAACCTCCTATGAAGGAAGTTGTTGGGAGCAGTGATTTGAATCATTGTCTCTGACCTACAGCAGGAGCTGCGCCTGCACTGGGAATTTCCCGTGCAGAGGTTCAGGTCAAGACTGCCCAGTTGCTATGGTGACACCCTGCTTAAAGGAGATTCTGTGCTAGGCACAGGACTATCAGTCTTGACCCTAAGTGCAGACATCAGCTGCCAGGGACAGAGAATTATGAAAGTAAATTGATAATTATATTTGTCATATAGTACTTTGACTTTCAATCCTGCATGCTTTCTCACAGAAAATCCTTTTGATGAGAAAACCCATATGTTGAAGTTGCTGAGCTAGCTCTGGGTCATTCATTCTCCATCAGAGGGTGATGTCCCACCTAGCCCCAGCCTTTTCTCTAGGTCTTTGTCTTTTCTCAATCCCCCATCGCCCCTTGGTGATTTCTGAATTAATGGCTGTGCTGGTTGCAGCAAAAAATCTTGAACCCTCTGGCTGGGAATGAGATTCAAGATTGTACCTTCTTTGTACATAGAAGGTCTATGTGTATCAAGAAGAGGAAGAAGAAACCCCAAGTGTGTGGCAAATTAATTATTGGAAAATCCCCAGCTCATTACTCATTTTTAATGTCCATGACAGATAATCCTTTGAAAAGATTGGCCAGCCCAAAAGAAGAAAATAAAAACCCTAAGGGACTTATCATTCAGATGCTCTACTGTTGATAATTTTGTTAAAGCTGGCCCTCCATATCCATGGGTCACACATCCTCAGTCAACCAACTACAGACAAAATATTTGAAAGTTTTGGTCAGTACTGAACAAATACAAACTTCTTTCTTTCAGTATTCCCTAAGTCATATAGTATAACAACTATTTGTACAGTATTTACATTGTTTTAGGTATTGTAAGTCATCTAGAGATGATTTAAAGAATACAGGAGAATATGCAGAGGTGGTATGAAAATATTATGCCATTTATATAAGGGAATTAAGCATTCATGGATTTTGGTATCCCGGAGGGGTCTTAGAACCCATCCCCATCAAATCTGGAGGAACAACTGTATATATCTTGTCAGTCCCTCTTAGTTCATGCTTTAAAGAGGATTATCTGGGGAGAAGTCCCTACTCACTTTAAAGAGGATTATCTGGGGAGAAGTCCCTATACACTTCCTGTATATCAGGAAGTGTTGAATAAAGTAAGAATGTAAAGCCATAGAAAATAGTGACTAATTTTTCAGAGTCAATGCAGGCAAGTTGGTTAAAATGGACATTCCTTTCCCTAGCTGTTAAAAATATCACCCTTTCTTCCAAAATGAATCTGCTTTTTTTACTTTAATGACTTACGTGCAAGTTTAGGCAATGATCCAAGTCTTGGGTTAGCTGCTAAGTAACCTAAGGATTAATATATAGATAATTAATATTTTATTTTGCAACCTACTTAAATTTGTAAGGAAAACTTCAAACTTTAAGATGCAGAATTTCTTAAATGTATACATAGTATTAATCTAAAGAAAGAATTTTAAAATAATTATGATTCACTTCTTGACTGAGTTTAACTCTTGAATAGCCATTTTAGGCAAATAGCATATATTAGCTTTAACATATAGAAAAGGAATATGAAACAAAGACTAACTTAAACTGAGTTCAAAAAATGACTCACTATCCTGTTCTCTCTTAAAGTAACTCAATATAGGAAGTTTCAGTTTAGAGATCCACTCTGTATGTGTGTGTGTGTGTGTCCGTGCGCACACGCGTGCATGTGTTTATTTAAAGCTTTTTTTTCTTGCTTTGACTAGAGGCATTCTACCACTGAATTGCATCTCCAGTCCTTTATTTTTTTTTTTTTTTAAAGAAGGTCTTGCTAATTTGCTCAGGCTGGGATTGAATTTGTAATTCTCCTGCCTTAGCTGCCCAAGTGCTGGGATTATAGGCATGTGCTACTGTCACAATTTTTAAATGAAAATAGTAGGGGCTGGAGTTATGGCTCAGTGGTAGAGCGCTCGTCTAGCACATGTGAGGCTCTGCGTTCGATCCTCAGCACCACATATAAATATAAAATCAACGTATGGTGTTCAATTACAACTAAAAAAATAATAAATATTTAAAAAAGAAAATATTAAAACTTGTGGCTGGGTACAGTGGCACACACCTGTAATCCCAGTGGTGTGGGAGGCTGAGACAGGGGGATCACAAGTTCAAAGTCAGCCTCAGCAATGGCAAGGTGCTAATCAACTCAGTAAGACCCTGTCTCTAAATAAAATACAAAAAAAAAAAAAAAAGGCTGGGGATGTGGCTCAGTGGTTGAGTGCCCCTGAGTTCAATCCCTGGTACCAAAAAAAAAAGAATGAAAAGAAGAAATATTATAACTTGAGGTGGGCAGGATAGTAGCCCCTAACAATGTCCGCTCCATAATCTTAAGAAACTGTAAATATGTTATAATACATAAAAACTTAGGTAGAAAGTAGAATTTAGGTTGCTATCAGATAACTTAAAAATAGGGAGATGGTTCTGGATGATCCAGGTAACATAATTATAACAATCCTTGAATGTGGAAGAGGGCATTGGAGAGGACCAGATATGACAATGTGAGAAAATGTTAGCTCAGCATTGCTGGCTTTAAAGACATAAGAGGGGGCTGCCAGAAAATAAATGCAGGAAAGGGAAAGGAAGATTAGAAACTTCCAGAAGAAATACAACTGGAACAATGTCTTGATTTTAATCCAGAGAGACCCATTTTGGATTTCTGGCCTCTGGAACTGTAAGTTAATAAATCTGTTCTTTTTAAGCCATGGTGTCTGTGATAATCTGTTACAATAACTATGGAAAACTAATATATAATTCTGAAAAAATATATTTGCACAGATGCAGAGATGATAGATCTTGAGTAATTTAATATTTATAAAATATAATTCTATAGATGTCCTAGCTACATTTTTTTTTGCTGTGTCAGAAATAGCCTGATGAAGGCTTGTTCTGATTGATGAATATATTCCTATTAAAAGACTATCATATTTAATACATGACCTTTACAGCCAGAATAATATTGATTAAACTGGAATTCTCCTGGTTACATGACACAGGTGATCTTTGAGATCCAAAAAAGAACTAGGACATCTTCCTTCATATTTACCAGGAAGAAATATTCCTTTTAAAATCTTGGTAACCAGAAACATCCAATAAATTGAACTTAAACAGAGTCAGAGGCCTTGTTGTTACCTGGGGACTACACAATGTATAAGAATTCTCTGTCTAGGTGGAGACAAAGAAGAGAATGAGGAAAGAGGAATGGAGAGGAAAACTCAGAGGTAAGCAGAGGTCACTGCAGGGAGAGACATGTGGCTGCTAGTCCTCATGGTCTCTTGTATGCATCAGACAGGGTACCCTCCTTAGTTGATTTAGCTTCTTGCTGGGACAAATGGCTTGGTGGGCAGAGCTTGGGTGGACTTCCACTCTACTCACCTCCTACCTGGAGCACCCTTCTGTAGTGAACCATTGGCCCAGTCACAGCCAGAGGCCGGGAGGCACAGGGACTCTGGTATAATGGAAGGCACTGTTTTAGTTTCCTATGATTGCTAAAACACATTACCACCAATGTAGTAGCTTAAAGCAAGTTTATTATAGTTCTTGAGGTGAGAAGTCTCAAATTGGTCTCACTAGTTTAAAAATAAAGTTGTAACTGCATCTTTAAGTGGGCTGCTTTCTTTGCTAGGGTGTCTGGAATTTCCAGATCCTAGAGGCCTCCCACATGCCTTAGCTCATGGCCCCTTCCTCCATCGTCAAAGTCTTGCAATGTTGATTCCTTATGCTGTCCTCTCTCTGGATCTATCTTCTCTTCCCCTTTGTTATTTTAAAAGAACTTTAAAATTTTTAGTTTTTTTTTTTCTTTTGATCCTGGGGATCAAACTCAGGATTTCACACATGCTAGGCAAACACATCACCACTGAGCTATATGCAGCCCTTTGCATTTTCAGATAGGATTTTTTGGGGGTACTGAGGATTCAACTCAGGAGCATTCAACCATTGAGCCACATCCTTAGCCCTATTTTATATATATATATATATATTTTTTAGAGACAGGATTCACTGAGTTGTGTTGTGCCTCACAATTGCTGAGGCTGGCTTTGAACTCGTGATCCTCCTGTCACAGCCTCCCCAGCTGTTGGGATTACAGGAGAGATAGGATTTTGCTAAGTTGTCATGTAGTGGCACCCCCTTTCTCCACAGAAAAGTCTTAACTGGGTTTCTCCAAAATTTTCACCAGGTTGATTTTAGGACTGTCAGCAAAAGAGTCTCTACCAAAGAGTTCAATGTAGATAAACTTCCAATTTTCGTGTTGCCCTGTTTTACTTGGCCACTGGTCAGGAAGAAATCAGCACTCCAGGTGCTGGATATCCTCTTACTAGTTTTCCACAAACGTGTATCCAGTATAGTAGTTTGTAGAAATGTGTAAACAAAGCCTCTGGCCTTGAGCTGGGGCTTCACAGAGATGTCTACGTTTCTAAGATAAGAGAAGTTACCAATTGGGCTCTGTGGTAACAGCTGGCAGGGGGAGGAAAGAAAGGGGAGAAGAAGCTCTCCTCTTTTCAGGTGCTATCCTTGAATGGTTAACTTGCCCAGAACAGTGAAAGAAAAAACTGCTTTTATGTGAACTTTTGCAGACTCTGAACTTCTGAGCCCTTCCCCTTATATGTTGGGTATAAAATTCTGAAACTATCTGAACTCTGGGTTTAGAGGATTGATTGATTACAGCAAAAGCTGTGCCCTCTGAACCTGGCTGCAGCCAAATAAAACTGTTCCAGCTATCTTCAGTGCCTTGCCTCATCTGTCCCTACAACAGGTAGGCTGGCTTTGAACTTGTGATCCTTCTGTGTCAGCCTTTTGAGTAGCTGGGATTATAGTTGTGTGTCACCATGTCTGGTAAAGACTCTTTTGGTCAAATTGGGCTCCCTGGATTACCTAGGATAATCTCCCTATTGTAAGGTCAGCTGTTTAACAACCTTAATTATATCTGCCATTTAATTTCCCTTTGCCAGGTAATCTAATATATTCACTCATTCCAGAGTCTAGGATCTCTTCTGTGGGGACAGGGACCTATGCTAAAAAGAGGTAGAAGCATGCATTAAAAAAATCTTTCACCAAAAAAAATACATGCCCAGTGCTAAGGAGCTGCCAGAAGGGTCACAGAAAACTGGACTCTCTGAAGTTAAGCAATTTAACAAATATTGAATCTTACCTTGGTGGACTAGTCCCTGGGTGACAAGCATGCTTACAAGAGAGAAAGGCAGAGCTGTAAAACAAAAATGTCCTTCAATATTGGTATCTTAATATCATCTCATTCCAGTCAGAATGGCAGCTATTATGAAGACAAACAACAATAAGAGTTGGGGGGTATGTGGGGAAAAAGGTACACTCATACATTGCCGGTGGGACTGCGAATTGGTGCAGCCAATATGGAAAGCAGTATGGAGATTCCTTGGAAAGCTGGGAATAGAACCACCATTTGACCCAGCTATCCCTCTCCTCGGTCTATACCCAAAGGACTTAAAAACAGCATACTATAGGGACACAGCCACATCAATGTTGATAAAAGTACAATTCACAACCCAGATGCCCTTCAGTAGATGAACGGATTTAAAAAATGTGGCATATATACACAATGGAATATTACTCAGCAATAAAAGAGAATAAAATCATGGCATTTGCAGGTAAATGGATGGAGTTGGAGGAGATAATGTTAAGTGAAGTTAGCCAATCCCAAAAAACAAATGCCAAATGTTTACTCTTATATAAGGTGACTGACTCATAGTTGGGTAGGGAGGGGGAGCATGGGAGGAATAGCCAAACTCTAGATATGACAGAGGGGTGGGAGGAGAAGAGAGGGGGCAGGGGATTAGCAATGAGGTGGAATGTGACAGACATCATTATTCAAAGTACATGTATGAAGACATGAATTGGTGAGAATATACTTTACATACAGAGATATGAAAAACTGTGCTCTGGGCTGGGGCTGTGGCTCAGTGGTGGAGCACTCGCCTAGCATGTGTGAGGCACTGGGTTCAATCCTTGGCACCACATAAAAATAAAGATATTGTGTTCACCTAAAACTAAAAAATAAATATTAAAAAAAGAAAAATCGTGCTCTATATGTGTAATAAGAATTGTAATGCATTCCGCTATCATGTATTTAAAAAATAAAATCAATTAAAAAAATATTGGTATCTTAAAACATGGTGCCTCACCTAGAGGTCAGGGGAGAATTGCTCAGAGATTTTTGTTTTACTTTCCTTAAATGTAAGTTTTATTCATTTGTTATTTTACTTATTCAATAAGTACTTATTACACACTATAGGGACAATTCTCTTAGGGTCTTCCCTGGTCACTCAACCTGTTTCATACCATTAGTTTGACCAAATATAAAACCCATTTTACTCCATCTCTTATTTTATAGTGTGAATCTGAAGTGTCCACCAAAGGATCCTTAGCTGGTGGGAATGTTGGGAGTTGGTTGGAGACTTTAGGAGGTAGGGCTTACTCGGAGGAAGCATCATTGGGAATGTTTCCTTGCAGTATGTATCCTGTCCTTGATCCCTTTCCTTCTCTATCTTTGCCTCTCAGCTGCTGTGAATTAAGCAACCACATTCTGCCATGTCCTCTTACCATGATGCTCTGCCTCATCGCAGGCCCAGAAACATGGAACCAAGTGGCCAGAGACTGACACCATGAGCCAAAATAAATATTTCCCCCTTTAAGTTGATTTATCTCAGGTATTTTGTCACAGTGATAAAAAACCAACTAATACATCAGACATCCAAATTTACTGAATGATTGACTTGTACAAGATTTTGAACACTACATTTGACATGGGCATCTTAGTTCTTGAATTGGGGAACTGCCTGTATCTATATGCATACATATATGTATACATCAATTTTCAATCCTACATAATTGTTAGGAAGCACTATATAATAAACTGCATAGTCTTCATCTATATTTGTTAGTTTTTTAAACCAAATTTGCTTTATCTCTATTTTTTATTTTTTTTCTGAAATATTTGAAATTTGTAAACATCATGACTCTTCAGCACTGAATATTTCAGAAGATATCTTCTAAGAACAAGAATATTTCCCTACAGAGTCACAATACCATTAGGGGTACTCCAGGATAATTAACTATTGCACAATCTATGTTCAAATATCTCCAAATGGTCAAATAATGTCTTTCATAGCTGCTGGCTTTTTCCAATACAGAAAATCAAGGATCCTATTTACTCTCTAATCTGCTTTCATCTTTCACTGAGGAGAGTTCCCTGCTTTTTTTTTTTTTTTTTTAGTCTATAAGACATTTTTGTCCACCAATTTGGAGGTCTGCCTGAAGATCCAAATGGAAGATTACAAGATGACTTCATTCATGTTAAATATGTACAATGTTTAGCTATGCCTTTTTGAACAGACAATTAGTTTGGCAAAGGCAGTTTCTAATTCTGTCAAAATGTGCCAAATGACTTCTCTCAAATGCAGAGAGCAGTGGTAAACATTCAGCTCTTCCTGGCAACCAAGGAAATTCAAACAGTAACCAATTTTTCCATCTATAACTAGTTGCCTGGTGGCAGGCAAATGGGTCATAATGAAGTGTTAATCTACTAGTGCGCAATTAAATTATTTACTCATAGGTTGTCAGAAAAGACATGCATTTCTAGAAGCACAATCAGTAATCATGGTAATGCATAATGAATATCAACTCCTACAGAGTGTTAGTTCCAAAACTGGTGATGCTGAATTTGAATGATTTATGAAATCAAAATGAGTATTGTAAAGCAAAAATTATCCCTGTGTCAGCAATGTTGCACAACACTGATGCTCTGTCTATAAGCTCTATTATGCCATTCTCAAACAACAAATCATGAATTTTTTAAATTGGAAGAAATTTAATGCACAGCCTGAATTCACACCCTTATCTTATGTAAGGCAGGCTCAGAAAGAGGAAGCAACTCAGCAGAAAAGGCTATTCAGAGACAATATAGGAGAAGTATTAATGGAACACTGCCATTTTTCTTTCACTCAATAATATTTAGGAGAAATTCTCTATGTGTGAAGCATTGTGCTAGGCTCTGGGATGAACTTGCCATTATTTCTGACTCTATGAAGCTTAGACTCTAGTGGAGGTTAGAAAGATCTACTCTTTGGTAATAAAGACATTCTAGACAATAATCTTGGCACATGTTCTTGCTCATGTGAAGGAAAGAGTTAAACGAGCAGCAGTTTTTGCTAAGTAAGGCAAAGTGCTCCATAATCAGATATTATCTCTGCCCTAAAAAATTTTTTCCAGATGTATTTAACCCAAAACATCCCTGAATATCCAAGTTCTTCAGGGATTTATGCAAACACCGCTCAAAAATAAATCATTCCTGCAGTTCTAATAGGATATGGAGGCAGTTTATTGCATCAAATGCAATGCTAGTAAAGATTAAGCAGGATGCAATTACCTCTCTTCCAGAAACTTTCTTCTTGACATTCTCGAATAATCTTGGCTATCTCTCCTCTGTGGATGTGCAGTTTTGATTTTGGACAAAACAACATGCTCTGTAAGGAAAGTTACATGACGAGTTAACTGAGATTATCAGAAAAACATCTACTTGGTTTTCCCTGGAGGAGGAGGTCTCTTCTCTTGTTACTTGGCTTGTGTTTTGGGCTGTCTGTGCCTATACACAGCAATACACATATACACAATTCCATAAGCTTCCCAACTGGACCTTCTAGATGGACTGAGGCAAAGAAAGAATCCCAGTTGGAGAGACAGGGTGATTCACTGATTTGAGTGCATGAAGTGGCTACTGGTCAAGCTGAATTACTGCTGAGGCCATGTGTGCTTTCACCTCCATGCCTCTGTCCATGGGCTTGACTAAGAGTGCTACTCCCTCTCTCCCTTCACCTACCTGCTCTTAAGATCAAGCTCAGTGTTGCCTCCTCAGTGAAGAGAAGGATTTGCTGATTTTGCCACTGTTCCTTTTCAGGCTCTTTGTAGTAGGTATCAGTGTGGATGGTGGTCACCATTTCTTGAGCACTTTCTCATGGGCCAGGCACTATGCCAAGCACTTGACATGCATGATGCTATATTAACAAGGTGGAGGGACTCATGGCGTCTATGCCTTCAGAGATCTACAAGCAATGCAAGCTGGCATCCTCCCTCTTCTTTCTCTCCAACTCTCCTTGACACAGTACAATTGCAGTGGTCAGCATGAATCACAACAACCAGTAACATGGTAATGCACAATGGGAAGAAGCAATTGCCATCAGTCTCTACTTACCTCCATTTCTTAGCACCTGTGCTCCTCAGCAAGCATGCCTCCTTTCCCAGGTAAATCAAATCGGTCCCTGACTTACTGATGGTTCAGATTTTTCCATTTTTATGATGGCATGGCAGTGATATGCATTCAGTAGAAGCCATACTTTGAATTTTGATCTTTTCCTTATATTGCTAGCAATATGCAATGCAATATTTTCATGTGATGCTGGGCAGCAGCATTTAGCTGTGGCCACCTTTCCCCTGGGCAATAGTGAGGATGAAAAGTTCATGCTCTGTACTGTGTTGTGTTACTAAGCTAGGATGGTCAGTAGGATAGATGTTTATAATGCATTTTCGACTTAAAACATTTTCAACTTATGACAAGATTATTGAGATGTATCTCCATTGTAAGTCAAGGAGTATTGCATTTGTTCTTGTCCTGGCTATGGCTGCAGCAGAAAGAAGAAAAATGTCATCCAAAAACACACATATACACACAGCTGACTGTTGCAGTTGCTCTGAGTCCTAGAGTCAAGATTAGAGTTCGTGCACAGACTCCTGGACGGAGCTCTGGTAATCCTTTCCTTCATGGCTACAAATGTTTTATGGCTCTCTGTTTCACAGAGGCAGCTCAGGTATCCAATTTCTTCTGCTTGTGACTTGTTATCATTGGTCTGTTTGCCTTTCCTATAGTTTACTTTTTTTTAAATTAGAGATTTATAGTTACACATAGTAGATGGGCTCATTTTGACAAAATCATACATGAAAGGAATTTGATTTTGATCCCCATTTTCTCCTCCATAAACAATTTTAGCTTGATATGTTTACCCCAGAGAACAAGTAAGATCACTGGCCAAAATCACTCCATTTACCCTTCAAATACTTGCTCTTTTTCTTTCTTTTTAAAACCTAAAAATTTTGTTTATTTATCTATTGTGGTACTGGGGATTGAACCCTGGGGCACTTTACCACTGAGCTGCATCTCCAGCCCTTTTTACTTTGTATTTTGAAATTTTGTGACAAGGTTTTACTAAATTGACCAGGCTGGCCTTGAACTTGCAATCCTCCTGCCCTAGTCCACTGAGTAGCTGGATTACAGCTACTGGCACCGGCACATTTTTTTTTTTTTTTTTTTTTTTTGAGTTAGGGTCTCAGTACATCTTCCAGGTTATTCTTGAACTCCTGGACACAAGTGTCTCTTGTTCAAATATTTGTTTCTGAAACACATAACATCCATTCTGAACAAGTTGAAAAAAGTGTGCTCATGTTAACATTTGGGTTCTCAATCTGATGGCTAATTAGTAATTAAGAATTCTGCTATCCTAAAAGCAACATCTGTCAGCAGCATATGCTTTGCATAATTATCCTTAGTAAGAAAAATATGAAAATAAGCAAAATGTACCCTTCTGTTAGAGACAACCAAGAGTTTTGCAGTAAAAGTTTACAACAGTAAACTTTTGCAGTCACTGACAGCCTCCATTAAGAGTTAGCTAAGCTGGATCCTAAGTGGGAAAGAGTCAAGAAAGTTTTTGTAAGTACATCTTTTGTAAGTACAACCCACATATTCCTTCTGTGTTCTCTGTACCCATCCAACAAGGTGTCGGACCAGAAAAAAACAAAATAAAACAAAACACAAAACCAAGTAAGATCACTGGCTAAGAGTGGGGTTTAACAAAAGTTCTGTATGATATTCCTCTTTACATGTCAGACTCCCCAAATTAAAAACATACCTGCTTGCTCAGTGGTGGCAAGTGGGGACCTTTCTCTTGGCTCCCCTGAGTGGACACTGATGCCATGGTGACTTTGTCTTTGCCTCTCTTCTTGTTGAGGGCTCTGCTCACTCTTTGACCAAATGGCTATGGAAAATAGAAAAGAATCACTGTACCTTGAAAAGAATCACTTTCACCCCTAATCTCAATGGCACTTATTTTGAAAAATTACTTTCATTTTGTCCCTAGTCTTAACCATCTACAAACTCAATTTCTAATGTCAACCCCTCACACTACATACCCACGTAACTCACTAATGGTGACAGATCATATTTAGAGTGAAATGTCACACTGTGCATAGTGAACTGTTTTCCTACCTATAAACTGTGTTCTAAAAAATAGTTTCATTCCACGACAAGGTCATTAACTGCACAAACACTTATCAAATGTCTATTATGCACCAAATCTGAGGATACAAAGTGTAAGATTAAAAAAACTGCTGAAGGAATCAGAGTCTAAAGGGGAGGGCACATAAGTTGACAATTGTGTCATATGAGAAGCGCTCCTTCTCCTAGAGGCATGTATGAGGTGCTAAGGAAGGAGAGTGAGAACAGCATATTCTGTCTGCTAGGCCTAAAGGCCCCAACGAGACTGACTTGTGAGATTTCAAGAGGATGTCTAGTGGGTGGATGGATTCTAGGGGCAGGAGGACCAATTTGGAAATTAATGCAATAGTCCAGGCAAGAAGCTGCAGAGACCGGAAATTAGATGCCAATAGGAAGAATAGGGATGATAAACTGGGGTTTGGAAATGTTGGATTTGGGTGCCTGGGTGCAAACAGTGGAATTAGTCCGGAGAGATTAGAATATTTGAGGACTGGGGTTTGAAGTTCCAGATGATTCATAGACTTGAGAGATAAATTTTGAATAAATGTATCTAAAAAGAATATTGAAGAATGTGAACATTGTACTCAAGGGAGTATCGACAAGGAAAAAACAAAAACAAAGGCAGACTTAAAAAATGCAATGATCAAGTAATTACATAGTTCAGGAGATTCGATTTTGAGTTTGGCAAAGATGGACACACTCCAGGTAGGTCACAAGTCTCCTCCCACTCCCCTCAGAGGCCACTGCATTCTGCAGCCCTGGCCTCAAGACTACTACTGACTTCCTGCAAAATGAACATCTTATCACACACAGTTCTGTTTCCTGCATTAATTACTAAACCATAAGGTTATGAGCAAAGGTGGCCTCTACTTGCACCAAATTTCACTTTAGGTGCCCTATCTTATTGTAGAGGCAGCACAGTATCCTGTAGTGCTAAGTCTCTGAATTCAAATCCTGTCTCTCCCTTTTGCTAGCCCTGTACTTTGAGGCAAGTCAGTGTGTCTGTGCCTCAGCTTTCTCACCTGTTCAGTGGATACAGTGGGCACAGCCCTCTTGAGGGGCTGTTGCCAAAATGAAGGATGAAGAATGAAGCCTATAGAAAGCCTCAGCTTAGGAGTCCGTACACAGTGGGTGTGTGAGTAGCTGGGCCCCTGGGCACCTTATGTCTTGAGAACCCCTAGGAATTCTTTGCTGATCTTAGAATGTTTTTGCTCAGTCAGGCATTAGATGTGCAAAGCTAGCACATCCTCTAGGTTTGGAGGTTAGGTTCCCCTTGCACCCAGGTGTATCTGGGTCCACATCTAAGCAAGGCTTCTGAGGGGCTGCCTTCCGAGTGCAGCTCCCACCACCCACACCCAGATCGCACGGGCTTCTCCAGTGGTGGGGAAGGGGACAGGGATGCTGACAGGTGGGCATTGGCTGCAGGATGGGGGTGGTGGTAGGATGGACAAGGAGGGGTGCTATCCAGAAGTGACATACTGGAAACTGCGTCAACCCCAAACCAAGTCCTCCAAACCCCGACCCGGGCCACCTTCCCCCCCCCCGCCCCCCCCCCCGCGCCCCAGACAGTGTGGTTCGTGGTCAGGGACCAGAGGCAGGAGGGAGCCGAGGGGTTGGAAAGCGGCCAACGCCAGCCGCGCAGCCTTCAAAGGGCTGCGGTGTCTGTGCGCCTGTCCCGAATACCCGGAAGGAAAGCGGGCATCCCTCCCGTTGTCACCTCCCCCACCCCGGAGTTGGGGGGAGGCTCACCCGTGGGGGTGGGGGTCGCTTCCCAGGCCACGTCCCGGGCGCAGATGTCTTCCCTCGGCGGCGGCTGCGGCCCTCGCCCGGCCTCTTGCTCACCCCCCTGCTCGCCCGCAGCCCCGCGCCGAGCCCGAGTCCCCTGTCCCCGGCGCCCCCGGCCCTCACCTTTCTTCCGCAGCTCCCTCTCCTTCCTTCCTTCTTTCCTTCCAGCTTCTTTTGCTCCGCCCCCTCACCTCGCTGCTATCACTCGCTTGAGTCACCGCGTCAAAGTGCATCCCCACCCCCACTTGCAGCCTTTCTGGTGGTGACAATCGAGAGAGGCTGAACCCCAGCTTTTGCCACCACTCCGGTCCCCCTCCACGGTCCCAGGCCCTGTTCTGACACCCTGCAGATTCCACCTCCTCAGGGTCTATCAGATGACTCTCTCCTCCCCACAATCACAGCAGCAACCATTTCCCCTGGCACCCTCCGGGGGCCAGGCCACCCTCCCCGTGTGCAGTCCGGTCTACAGCCCTTGAGGGTGAGCACGATTGATTATCCTCACTCTACAGGCCAGGTTGTGCAAGGTCACCCAGGAGTCCGGAATCACACTCAGGCCAGCTTGGTCCCTAGCTTGGTCCTCTGTCCATGGACTTGTCCCTTCTCCGCCACCTGCTACTAAACTGTGGGGGCAAAGTTACCTCCTGGGGGAGTGCCTTTAGGGCTCTCTCCTGGGCTGACAGACAGGGACTCCTTGGGGGTATTGAGATGGAGAGAGATTCTGAATCACAGTGAAGGCCCTCATCACCTTTTCCTCCTGTCCCAATCTGTCTCCATGACTTCAGCCTCAGCCCTGGCCCAAAGCTTATCTTTCTTTGATGCCTGCCACCTGCCCAGGGCTCCTTTCTGTTCTTCATGCTCTCTCAGCTCTTTTCCACCCAAGCCCTGGCACGGAGGCCTCCCCTTGCCTGGATCCTCTCCCTATGACACCTGCCTGGCCCTTTCCTATTCATGATTCCCTACCGTTCTTCAGCAGAACCTTCCTTGTCGCCCAGCCCTGTAAAAATCAAACCTTTTCTTCTCTTTCACAGCATAGGCTGCTATTGTTTTCTCTTACAGCACTGTTCACAGTTGTCATTATGTATTTATTATGTGTACAGTTGTATAAAGCCTTCCCTTTCCTTTCATGAAGAGCAGAACAAGATGGACTCTCCTTTGTTCACCATTGAGTCCTTAGCATCTCAGATATAGGAAGGCCTCAATAAATATTTCTTGAATAAACCATCTGGGTTCAAAGATTGTGAAGACACTGCTGTTTTGGGAAGATTTGTATCCGCGCCTCCCCTACTCCCCAGTAGATTTCCTTAGACCACATCTATTCATGTGATTTAGTGAGTTTTTTCTTCCAATAGGGTATTTTCTTTTCTCTTCACTCCTTTTCCTCTAAGTCAAAGGGCGCGTAGTTCTGCTAATTTTATATTGTGTTGCTAGAAACCAGAAATATGATTTGGCCATTTTATGGTCTGAAGGGATCAGCTTTGTAATTGGTTTTGTGGTATATGTGAACAGCCCTCCATTACATTGAAGTCTACCTTGTAACAAATACTTGAAGAGGCATTTGTCCTTCAACTTCCTGCTTTAGTATAATTCATGCCCCACCCCCCTCTAATTTCTGCCAGAATGTTCTAATAGGTCACCTTAGATAACTAGAAGTTAACATATGTAATGTGCATGGATTATGAGTTCCTCTGTTGGTATACGCTGGACAAATATGATGTATCCATGTTTCATTCTGAGCATATTCAGAGATAAAAGAGAAAAGACACAGTTCCTTTCCACAAAGCATTTGTTACTTTCCAAAAGATAGAAAATAACATAGACTTGGCCCTAGAAATTGGTTACACTGAATGGAGCCTTTGTTTTTTTTAATTCAGCATTCTACAAGAATTAAGGATCATGACTATAAAGCTGATTATTACTGGTTAATGATATAAAATAGTGACTAGTTTAGGAAGTGCTAAATGGATTACGGCAGGCTCCAGCTTCGACTCTTTCTGTTGCCCTACATTGTCCTCAGGCAACGTCCAAATTTATTAGCAGGGTTCTGTGTGATTAAGCTCTTGCCTGCCTCTTCAACATATCTATCTTAGGGCCTCCCAAGGGCCCTATTGAGTGACTGCTGTTCTCTCCTTTCATGCTTTTGCATGGGCTGTGATTCATCCTGAACCAAACTTCCAGCTTCTCCATCCCTCTGTCATTCACTCTTTAAAGACTGTGGTATCACCTTTTCTTGGAAACCCTGTCAGACCCAAGTTTAATTCCACACTTTCTGCATTCCTGTTGCACTTTGCAATGGTGGTATCTGATATGTCTCTGTGTCTGAATATATGTTTCTTTGTGCATATACATGTATATAAATGTAAGAGTCATAACCTGAATTAAACACTATGTGCCAGGCACTTGTATTGGTCAATTTTATGTCCTTATATAACAAAATATCTAGGACTTGGTCATATATAAATATTTATCTCAGTTCTGAAGACTGAAAACCCAAGATTGTGTGGCTCCATTGGTTTGGCCTCTGGTGAAGGCCTAATGGTGGTTGGCATTGTAATGATGAGACAGGAAGCCAGAGAGGGATTCAGGTGTAAGGCTTTCTCTTTTTAAACAATTCACTCTGGTGGGAACTATTCGGGCTCTCTTGAGAATGACCTTACTTCCTTCTGCATGCAGCACTCTCAACGACTGACCACTTCTTCCTAGGTCCCACCTCTTAAGGTTCCACCACCTTCCATCATCACCACACTGAGGATCGAACTTCTAACACAGAAGCCCTTGGGGGACCCTCAAACCACATCCAAACCATAGCAGCATTCTCCTGGTCCCCTCCTCATCTTTTAACTGCATCCCACAGCAGTCGATGAGTTGTGATAGTGACTTATTAGTCACATGGCCAGAAAGGAAACTAGAATTTAAACCCAAACTCCACAGCCATGTGCTTCAGATACATGCCACCTTCCTGGAACTCAGCTGTCATCACACTATGTTAGAACCACGGATGTCATCCACTGTTACTCCCTCTTGAGGTGAGCTCCTTGTGGGCAGGGATTAATTTTTTTCAGAGACTGGCACATTCTATGAGCTCATGAATGATGATGGACAAATTGAATGAGGCACAGAATAAAAAATGCAAGATACCTGGTCCTTTATTCCATGAGGTTTATAGTCTCCATTAGCCATTCCTCCTTTCCTTTCCTTTCCTTCCTTCCTTCCTTCCTTCCTTCCTTCCTTCCTTCCTTCCTTCACAAAATAGTTTCAGGGCCTTTTTGTTGTTGTTATTGTGCTGGGGATCCAACCCAGGGCCTTGTGCTAAGCATGCACTCTACCTCTGAGCTACACCCCCAGTCCAAGATGTGGGATCTTTTTTTTTTTTTTTTTTTTTTTTAATTTTTTATTGTGGGTTGTTCAAAACATTACAAATTTCTTGACATATCATATTCCACACTTTGATTCTAGTGGGTTATGAACTCCCACCTTCACCCCATACACAGATTGCAGATTCACATCAGTTACACATCCATTGATTTACAAATTGCCATACTAGTGTCTGTTGTGCTCCGCTGCCTTTCCCATCATCCACCCTCCCCCCTCCCCACCTCTCCCCTCCCCTCCCCTCCTCTCTCTCTACCCCCTCCACTGTATAACCCTGAGGGTCTCCTTCCATTACCGTGCAATTTACCTTCTCTCTCCCTTTCCCTCCCACCTCTCATCCCTGTTAAATGTTAATCTTCTTCTCCTGTTCTTCGTCCCTACTCTGTTCTTAGTTACTTTCCTTATATCAAAGAAGACATTTGGCATTTGTTTTTTAGGGATTGGCTAGCTTCACTTAGCATAATCTGCTCTAATGCCATCCATTTCCCTGTAAATTCTATGATTTTGTCATTTTTTAATGCAGAGTAATACTCCATTGTGTATAAATGCCACATTTTTTTTATCCATTCGTCTATTGAAGGGCATCTAGGTTGGTTCCACAGTCTTGCTATTGTGAACTGTGCTGCTATGAACATCGATGTAGCAGTGTCCCTGTAGCATGCTCTTTTTAGGTCTTTAGGGAATAGACCAAGAAGGGGAATAGCTGGGTCAAATGGTGGCTCCATTCCCAGCTTTCCAAGAAATCTCCATACTGCTTTCCAAATTGGCTGCACCAATCTGCAGTCCCACCAGCAATGTACAAGTGTACCCTTTTCCCCACATCCTCGCCAGCACTTGTTGTTGTTTGACTTCCTAATGGCTGCCAATCTTACTGGAGTGAGATGGTATCTTAGGGTGGTTTTGATTTGCATTTCTCTGACAGCTAGAGATGTTGAGCATTTTTTCATGTACTTGTTGATTGACTGTATGTCCTCCTCTGTGAAGTGTCTGTTCAGGTCCTTGGCCCATTTGTTGATTGGGTTGTTTGTTCTCTTATTGTCTAATTTTTTGAGTTCTTTGTATACTCTGGATATTAGGGCTCTATCGGAAGTGTGAGGAGTAAAGATTTGTTCCCAGGATGTAGGCTCCCTATTTACCTCTCTTATTGTTTCTTTTGCTGAGAAAAAACTTCTTAGTTTGAGTAAGTCCCATTTGTTGATTCTAGTTATTAACTTTTGTGCTATGGGTGTCCTATTGAGGAATTTGGAGCCCGACCCCAATGTGGGATCTTTTTAATAACACCAAAAATGCAAACTAGCACCCCAAATTTACAGGTAAGAAAAAGGGGCACAGAAAAGTTAAGTTACATGGTCAAGGTCGCAGCTGGGAAGTGTTATTTCCAGGTTCAGACCTCAGTGCCCTGGTTCCTTAGCGCATGCCCTTAATCTCTACAATGTATTGTGTGTCCAGCATCCTCATTGGGCAGAGGAGGAACATAGACTTATACACAACAAGGGACAGGTACAGGTGTCTGGGTAGTAAGGGAGGCAGAGGGGCCCAGTCAAGCAGCTTGGGGGAGGAAGGAGATGGGGGCTGTGCAGAGTGGCTGACTGAACAGCGAGGCCTAGTGGGGGAGGGGTGGGATGTACCTAAACAAAGCACACCTGGACTCTGCCCAGCCTCACCCACAGCTGCCTCTTTCCTGCTTCCTCAAGGGGTCTCCAGCTGGTTTCCTGTCGGGGTGTTTTCAGAGTGTGTGTACCGTGGGCCTCTTGGACATCCATGGAGCAGCGAGAGCAGCCCTCGTCCTCCTGCCATTTTTCCCTTCTCAGCTCTCCACTTGCCATCTGTGAGCTCTGCAGGAGGCTCTGTGAATCACGGGATCTCATGAGTCACTCATTCCCTCTCTGAGGAATAAATAACATCAAATTTCACAAAAGCAGCACAGTCGGGTTTAAATGAGGTGTCACACAAAGATGGAGCACGGGTTCTGCTTCCCCTGATGAAGTGGCACTGCTGTCAGGCGAGGCACGTTGCCAGTGCTGAGCTTGAAGTTTTGGACCATCAACCCGGAGCTC